TTCAGAGACATAGGCTCTTTTCATCAAAGATACACGTATTTGAGTTTCAAAATTACAAAAACTATTTAAACCTGTATTTAGGATCTAACATGGATAACTACCCATTCTATTATGCTATTTTTAGTTGTTATCAGATTGGCCCATAGTGTGTATTAGATCATATTAAACTTCATTTAATATTATGAAAACTATTTTATAAGTTCATATGGATATAATATATTTTTGGATGGTAAAGTATGTTAAATTGTGGGACATTTTTAGTCATTATTTCAGGTCATATCTGAAATCATACTTTAAATCCCAACTGTGGCCAAAGTTAGTTAATTAAAACGCATAGTACATACTTACTAGTCACTGAATATTGGTTAAACAATTATATCCATGATTTAATAATATTCATGGAGATAGCTGTTTAAACCAATGTTGTCAAATTGATACCTCTCCTGATTGCATTTTAGAAAATACTAGATTTGGGGAGACTATTTTATTTTACCTACACTCATACAAAATATAAATCTTCCATCATATAAATATTCTGTTGCAATGAAAGAGCAGACAAGGAGAGTTTGCATCCAAGGATGCAAAAAATCATGACAAAAGATGATTGGATTTCTAACTATTGACATAAAAGGAAGCAAGTCCACTCAATCAGAGGCAGGAGGAGTGGCCATCACTCAAAGAGATAGCTAACAAACAAGCAGGTGTGCATGTGGACAAACTTGGCAAATGATAACAACCAGGGACAGCCATGGGCACACTTCCTTAAGAAAAGAATAACGGGTCAGGGAAGTTTTCAAGGCTGTAGGGAGTCTTGGAGACTTGTTAAACAAAGTACTAGGGAGATGAAATACGATCTTGAGAAAAATAAAATAGTCTCTCCTTCTCTTTTTCAACCAAGTCCTGTTTTCTGTGTCTCCCTACTTCCTTTTGTTTCTTTACTATCTTCTTTTGCTAGTTCTAATACTATGTTCATTTTTATCACAGAAATGTTCAGAGGCCTTCTTTAGGAAAATCCAGAAAAATCATAAATTTAGAACTCAAAAGCATATTTCTAAGTTAACATAAAATATCTTGATTTGCTGGATTCTAGCATAGAAGTTTGACCAAAATATTAGAATCTGAGTATTTAAAAATTCCTCAAATTCTAAGCAATATTATTAAAATCTTATTTTTCCTTAATACCTAATGAAAGAATGTGGGTCTTTCATAATATATACCTACTTCTATAGCTCATCTAATTTAAAGTCTTTATTTGGCTTTATGCAGATGAACTCCAAAATGTTTTTGTGATCTACCAGGTCATCTAAACTTTTTAGTACCTGGCTAAAAGTTAGATATTTTCTATATTTTCTGATATCTCAATTTTCTTTCCTTTTTTCTTTTTTGTTTTTTACCAGGCCTTCCTTAGCAATGAAAGTTACTCCTGAAGTGGTGGGATTCTGAACCATATTATAAACCATACAGTATTGTCAACAAATGTCACCTTAATGAAAAGTAGAACAATAAGAAGGATGGGATGGAGGAAAAGAAGTAGGAAGGGAGGAAGTGAGGGTAGGATGATGGAAGGAAGGACCAATTACATTTTAGCTTCCTATGAAAGGCTAGATTTTAACATTAATATTCAAGAACAGCCAAAACAGATGCCAAATAGCAGCATCATAATGAGATTTAATTTCTGGTTTGTCGAAATAAATCTAAATTTTATCAAAATTAATTATAGAAGTTTTCACAAACTGTTAGTGAGTTCTTTTTAAATTTTCACATTATTGTATAAGAATAGACATTTCTCACTCAGCACTCTCAGCGGCTGAATTATTTCTGTAGTTACTAGACTACACACTTGCAATATTTAATAAACATTCATTTTCCTTTCAGTTGGAACAACAATAAAATTTTTGTTTAGGCTTCCCCACAATAAGGTGCTACTGATGGTGGTGGTCAAATTATTATGTCAACTTTCTCTCTGAGATGACTAACTGAGATATAAATAGAGCACTCATTTATCTCATAGACTGGAATGCATGATGGATGATGCTCAGACCTTTCATTGATGTAATCCCCAAGCAAAGCTTTATAAGCTCTATGACTAAACACTTTATATTTTTCAGGTACATATCTAATAGGATCATCTACATTCAACATTTTGTCTGTTTTATTAACTTCTTTTTAAAATTATTTTATTTTATATATTTTTACATCATTTTCCATTTTTGCACAATGTATGCATTTTCATCTTGGTTATAGTCCCCATACAATTCCCACACCCCTTGTTTTGATACTACTCCCTCCTCTCCCCCCCCATAGTATGTTTCTGGTTTATAGTTGCTTGTTGATTTTGATTTTTACTTTATTATAATTAGTATTTTTCCTGGTCCATTATTTAGGTTTTCTAAATTCCTGTTATGAATGAGGGCATCTGGTATTTTTTCATTTTCTTTCTGGCTTATTTTGCTGAGCATGATCCCTTCTAGCTCCATCCATGTTGCTGCAAATTGCATGAGTTTATCTTTTTTGATTGCTAAGTATTATTCCATTGTGCATATTGTTTTATTAACTTCTAATTTGTGACGAATTGCAATGATTCATGGAGACGGTTAAGGAAAACAGTGCCCAGATACATTGGGTCCGATGTGCTGCAAAAGGGCAGTGATTGGTTTTAATATATAACAGTGGATTAATATTAGTTAATTTTAATACTAATTAACATTAATTAATATTAATTTTAATATTACTACTTCAGCATTCAAATCATCCCCAGTTATTACAGTATCTTTGCAACAGATTGATAGTACCAGATTTATAGCAGAAATCAAGAAAAACACACTTATACGCTGGAGTCACATGAATCCCACCTTGAATCCAACCATATCTAATTTAAAGTCTTTCTTAATCTAAATTAGATGATACTAAGATGAGACTTTGGTCTTTAGACTGTAGTATTCATGCTAGAGCAAGACAAGATAGCTGGTGCTGTTGGGATGAAATGGATGCATTTTGCTTGTGAGGACATGGATTTAAGAGGGCTTGGAACGAAATGCTCTAGACAGTGTGCTGTGTTCCCCAAATTCATATGTCAGAACCCTACCCCAGGAAGGGCTGGCATTATTAGGTATTAGGAAACAAGTCTGTTGTTTAAGCCTCCCTAATATCTATGATATTAGTTATAGCAGCCCAAGTTCAGCAAAAAAAAAAAAATGTGGGTTCAGCTTTCTTTCTGCTTTATTTACTTGCTGAAAGGTAACAAACTATTAGGTTTCTCAAAGTTAGCAAGAGAATGAATCAGGTGAAAGGAGTAGTCATATAATGGACAATCAGTACATAAAATGTTATAATTTTTATTGGCAATGAATTATTTGGTGATCACTAGCATATATTTTAGGCATATCATTGAGTTGAATGTTCAGAAAATAATTATAGAACAGCTTATATGCAGCAGAATCAATGACTGTGTAGAAAGATGGTGACTACTTTTAGCATATTTTTTTCTACAGCCAAAGAAAATAACATCAAGCATTATATAATGCTTGAAGTATGTTAATATAAGCTTTAAAAAAAAAAGAAAAAATATATAATTTTGTTGAAGATGATTCCTGAAGAAAAGAAAGAGTTAAAATACCATTGTGGATTATAGTTCTCCATCTTGACATTATTTACTACTAACTGAAGATGTTTAAGTAACCAGAACTGGAGCTTTGTAAGACCTTTGCCCCTATGTACAGGCAGTTTTTCTTAAACTTCTGTTTGAATCATTGCAATTCACAAAAAAAGTTAAATTAGAAATTAGAAACCAATATAATATTGAATGAAGACAATCATAGTAGACATGCACCTGAAAAGTATTTGCCTAGGACTCTGCTGAGCTAGGGTTATGCACCTGCAGCTCCAGGCAGTCCTGCTCCAACAGCTTCAGTAGGAGGTTACATAGTCCTTATAAGTCTAGGTGGTTTTCCTGATCATCCCTAAGTCATCTTTTGGTCCACTCTTCACTTGCCTTGAAGAATACCACAAGTTCAGCGTCCATTGCTATATCATCCTCTCCCATAGAATATACACCTGACTGTCTTGCTTTATTCCACTCCATCTTCTGCTTAGTTCAAACTGGACTTCTTCCTGCTGGAGTGGCTGTTTAATCCATGGTTCACATGCATACAAATCTCTTAGGAAATATTTCCTGGAGCACTCTCTTGGTGCTCTCTGGAGAACATGTTATTCATATTTTTGCAATATGACTAGGCTGCAAATTTTCTTAGTTTTTGAGTTCTGTTTCTATTTTATTTAACAATTCCTTCTTCAATTCATGTCTCTCTCCTTGCATTTTACTATAAGAACTCAAGTGGAATCAAACCACTCCCTCACCACCATTTAGCTAAATATCCACTTTCATTTTCACAAGCATAGTGCTTTCGCAAAACAATAAAACGCAAATACAAGTCAGTGAAGTTCTTGCTGCTTTATAACAAGGAGTACCTTTTCTCCATTGTCCACTAACATATTTCTCATTTCTATCTGACACCTCATCAGAATGTCATTTACCATCCCCATTTCTACCAACATTCTCTATCTGATTATTTATATAAAGTATTTGCTACATTGAAATCTCTCTTTACAGCTCTCCTTTTTATGTTCTGATTCCTCACCAGAACTCCCTTTACAGCAATATCAGCTTTTTCTAACATGTACTTCGAAATTCTTCCAGCTTTATTTATTATCCAATGCAAAAGATGCTTCCACAATTTTAGGCATTTGTCAGAGCAGTCCCCCATTTCTCAATACCAACTCTATCTTGATCACTCCAGCTGCTCTAACAAAAGACACCTGGTGGGTGAACAACAAACAACAGACCTTTTCTTTTTTTTTTTCCCCCCTCACAGTTTCAGAAACTGGGTTGCCAGCCAGGCCTCTTCCTGGCAAGATCCCTCCTCGCTGCTCTGCAGACAGCCATGTTCCCATATATTCACCTAGTGGAGAGAGTAAGTTCTAGTTTTTTTATTTTTTTTCCTCAGGGGTGTATGAGAGCACAGTCCCTCGCTACCAGAAATTAAGCAATTTAGTTACCCACATTTGGGGAAATCGCAGAAATCACCACCTCCTCAGTGCAGTGGAAGTGTCTGACCCTGGGAAGACCACCTCAGTGATCCTGGTATTGTCCCTGCCAGGGAACTTCTACTTACATTACTTTATTTAAAAAAAAATAAGATTTATTTTTTTTATTTATTTATGCATACAAGAGCTGGGGTGTAGGCCAGAGGTTTGGGGATGAGAGAGGATTCAGCAGAGACAGAGTGGGCAGCAGAACAGGTGGATCTACTGAAATACACTGCTGAGGGGAGCAGCAGGGAGACACGAGAGGTCTACGGTGGGTAGCTCCCTGGCTGGGGATAGAATCCCTGCTGCAGTGGCTGGTGATATCTTCATAGCACTGAGACTTTAACCCCAGCAGCACCAGGGAGGTCCTAGTCACATCACTTTATTTCAACAAATAATTACTTCCACGTCTCCATGTCCTAATATCCTAATGACCCCCATAGCATTAGAGGTTACAATTTCCACTTATGGATTAGGGTGGGTGGGGCACAAAGATGTAGTCTATAACATCCTTGCACCATCAAACTGTCAGACTGGAAAAATATATTTTCTATTTATGTATAAATGTTACACACATACACACACACACTAAAGATGTAAAATATTTAAAAGTTTCACTATTGATGCACAACAGGGGAATATATCAGGAGTGGTTTGTATCATTTTCAGGTCAAGACTTTAAGAAATGAATGTATTTCCTCAGCCCCAGCCATGTCCTCACTCCTTTCCTTGTCTGGAGGCAAGTAATGACATAATGGTATGTCTCTAGAGGAACAGGGAAAGCAGGATATGGAAGGTCTGGGCTGTTGAGCCACCATATGGAGGCACGCCATCTGCTAACAACACTCCCTGTGAATCAGTCCATGAGCAAGAAATAAACTGAAATTGCAATTTCATTGTTACCACCCTTTTTGGGTTATTTTATAACATGGTCTTTCTAAATAGCTCTTTATCTTTCTCTGCCTCTCTTACATTTTTCCATGTTTCTGTCTGTGTTCCATTTTCTGAAACTTTTCATACTCTTTAGGACATAAGACTGCATAAGACTTTGGCATTTGGGTGACATTTCAGGTGACAATGTCAATAAAATGTTAATTCATCCTCTCAAGATAGAAAGAATTCCCATTTCTCAAATACAATTTTTCTCTTAAAATTTTTTGGACTAAGTGGTATTAACGACTAAATGTTTAAAACTTATGTTTAATGTTACAAATGCTAGAATAATAAATACTTATGCGGAGACTAGAATTTTGACACAATCTGATCCCTATCCAACTTTACTATAATTTAAAATTGTTTAAACATTTTCTACTTGAAAAGGATAGATTTTTCTTCCAAAAGTTATTTTGCCAGGTTAGCATCTTGGTATGGAGAGTAGTTTATTAATCTAGTTATCTATGGCAGTACTTTCATAGTTAATCCACAGTCTTCAATTGTTGGAACCCTTAACTTTTACAATGGCAAGCACACATTTATATTTCAGATACAATTTTGGCCACAAAAAATGTTCCTGACAAGATTTTTACTTCTAACTATATCCAGAATTTTAATGCATATGTGAGCACAACTATTCTGATATTAGCTCTAAAGAAGAAGGTATTCCTTTGTATTGCTGGTGTTTTAAGGCTAATTAAAAGGAGCTAAAAATGCAATCACAGTAATATTGATCATGTCAAGTTCAGGTATGATGGAAATAACCCTGATGTGGGTAGTTGAGAGTTTCTTGGCCCAAAGCCTGAAGCCAACACTGAGCAGCAGAAGATTTTTGCCAAATACTACAGATGAATCTTTACACTTTGGTATCATGTTACTAGTAGGATATCATTTTATGCTCTAATACTTTTTTTTTTTTTTTTTTAATAGAGGCATGCTTTATTTATTTGTTTGCTGGTTTGTTTGTTTGTTTTGTTTATACATGCACTGGGTACAGTCAGAAGCGCGGGAGGGTGAGAGAATTCACCAGAGCCAGAGCGGGGAGCAGAGCAGGCAGAAGGACCGAAGTACACTGCTGAGGGGAGCAGCGGGCGGCAGGAGAGGTCTGCACGCCATGTGGGACCCTCCTCCGGTGGCCGGGGCCAGCCAGGGATCCGGCGCCACAGAGGCCGCGGGCAGCTTCGCAACCCAGCGCTCAACCGCTGCGCCACCGGGGAGGCCCTGCTCTAATACTTTTGCACATATTCCTCCCTCTGCCTTCATGTGCCTCATCACTGCCTCATCTGTCTGATAAACCCACCTTTCCAGGTCCCATTATAGAATCCTCTCTTTTCAGAGTCTACATCACCATCATGTTTCCACCTCTATAGTCCTATATGTCACACTTAATTTAATTATTTAGCTGTTTGTATGTCAGTAAATGTTAAATACTGACATAGTTGTTCCTGTGTCAGTAAATGTTAAATAAAAACAATATACTGTCTAGTTAGGGGCCTTCCTGTGACACGAGGGGTTAAGATGCAACCTATGTAGCTCTCCACAGCCACTGCAGCACGAGTTCAATCTCTGGCCAGGGAGTTATCCACATGGCGCAGCAGACCTCCCCTGACTTGCCTGCTGCTCCCCTCAGCAATGTATTTCAGTCAATCCACCTGTTCTGCTCCCCACTCTGTCTCTGGTGAATCCTCTCACCCCCACACCTCTGGCCTGTACCCCAGTTCATGTATGCATAAATAAATAAATCTTTTTAAAAAAAATAAAGAAGCACGAGCCAGTACCTGAGCCTCTGCTTTTCCAGGAAACGCTGCCTCTCCAGCGAGGACAGTGAAGAGCACAAGCAGTTGGATGCTATGAGCTTGTATGGGGAGGGAGAGCTTATTGGCATTAGAGGCATTTACTAGATTTCTGGAAAACAGGAAGTGTGAGGGAGAATGTTTACAGCTAAAGGAGACCCAAGAATGCCTTGTCGCTGGGACCTCCCCAGTGGCCCAGTGGTTGAGCGCTGGGTTGCGAAGCTGCCCGCAGCCTCTGCAGTGCCAGTTTGATCCTCTGCAGCGCTGGTTCGGCCACCAGGCAAGGGTCCCACATAGTGCGCAGACCCCACCTGCCGCCAACTGCTCCCCTCAGCAGTGTATTTCGTCAGTCTGCCTGTTCTACTCTCAGCTCTGGCTCTGGTGAATTCTCTCACCCTCCTGCGCCTCCAACTGTACCCAGTGCTTGTATAAAAAAATAAGTAAATCTTTAAAAAATAAAAGAAAAGAATGTCCTGTCGCATGGGGTGGACCCCTGTGACCCCTGTGGTGGAACCTGTAGGCGACCTGCCCTGGATGGCAGTGGCCACTGTGGAAGGTGGAGTGGATGTCTGCACACAAAGCAGGAACCTCCCGGGGGAGCTGACCATTGCACATTCTGGAAACGGTCCTCCACAGAGGACACTTTACATCACACCTGAGAGCTCCTGTTCCTAGCATTTACCTCCAAGGGCCTGGCATAGAGACAGAACAGCAATAAAAATAGCAAAACCTTTGCTCTCTTTAGCAATAGATGGAACTTCTTCTTTTTTTTTTTAAGATTTATTTATTTATGCATACAAGAGCTGGGGCACAAGCCAGAGACGCAGGGGCTGAGAGGACTCACCAGAGACCGAGTGGGGAACAGAACAGGCATACCAACTGAAATACACTGCTGAGGGAACAGCGGGTGAGACAGGAAAGGTCTGCTCACCATGTGGGTTGTTCCCTGGTGGGCTGGGGATCGAACTGGTGCTGCAGAGGCTTCAGATTGCTTCATAGTGTAACCCTTTGTGCCACCAGGGAGGCCAAGATGGAACTTCTTGAGTGGCTTCACCTCATGCTACGTTTGGAAGATCTTAGCAGTTTTTGGCTCTGCAGTCTACTTGATGCCACCACTTTCTACAGGGATCTGGCCCTCCTATTACAGAGAGACACCAACTGAGGAAATGGTCCTGACTTAGAGTAGCAGAGAATAGCCAAGACTAATATAATCAGCCAGGATTGCCATGGATCAGGTCAAAGGACATCAAAGGTGCAAAGGCCACTTGAAGAAAATATACAACAAAGGAACAAGGCAAGACCAGCAAATGGGACAACAGAAAAGTGAGTAAAACAGGGCAAAAAGCCAGAAAACCTGACTCAGTTATGATCAATCTCTTCATAGGACTTGATTAAATCAATAAAACAAAAATAGACAAAAAGAAAAAGAAGTAGAGACTAAATTGTCTTCTGCATCCTTTGTTTTGCATTTGAGGTTGTCTAATGTATTAAAACAAGGTTACTATGTGATTGGAATCTATTTAAGAAATTTATATGTGCATCAGTAGAGGTGTGAACCTGTCCTTCTGAATCATATGCAGTGATGAAAAGCAATGTTTTCTCAATTTTTTTTTAAATTCATAGGCCAGTTCAAGAACAAGTATATTTATCTGTTACTATATTTGCATTGACTGATACAGTAGAACTCTTTTGAAAATATTCAACCTTGCCAGTAGTTCATAACTCAGGGAAACAGAATGAGCTGCATAATCTGTGGATCCCAGTGTAAAGGGAAAAGGTAGAATTCCTTTGTAAAAAAAAATTATTAAGAATTTCAAGATAGTGACAGCAAAGTATTGAACTTTGCAAATACATCACACCCAAGCCAACCCTGTCTATGTAGGCAGCCTATCAGATACCTGTGAAAGTAAGCTGGATGGCTGCAGACACAGGACAGGTGGCCTGGAAGGACATGTCTTCCTATACCAGGCCCCAAGCATCTCTGTTTTACATCCTGAGTTTGCTATGCATTATGCATTTTAATACTAAAATATATATATCTAACATTTATTTTTTCTTATTTATGCAAACAAGAACTGGGGTACAGGCCAGAGGTGCAGTAGTGGGTGAGAGGATTCACCAAAGACAGTGGGGAACAGAACAGGCAGACTGACGAAAATACACTGCTGAGGGAGCAGCGGGAGAGACAGGAGAGGTCTGCTGCACCATGTGGGTCACCTCCCTGCCCGGGGATTGAACTCATGCAGCAATGCTGCCGATAGCTTGATAGTGCTGAGACTTAACCCCTTGTGCCAGCAGGGAGGCCCCCCTAAGATTTCTGAATCATCTGTCATTCAAACTATTTTTGGTAATT